GTATGATTAGCCAAACTCTTCCTAGCATGCAATTTATCTTGATAATAGTGTTCATACTAAACCGCGATACTTCATTCGAAACTGACATGTGTTTTTCGCATTGTTAAAAAATTCCCAAACCATGAGCTATTTTATGTTTCACTGCCACGTAACAGAAATGGTAACACCGTGAAATATGAAACTTCTTGCTTTCACAGTCAGTATTTTTTTAGTGACGGAAAGTCGCTTTGTAACTATGTCAAGAATTTGGTAAACAGTTTTCTTCGCAATGGTCCTTTTTGTTCTTTCTTTTCCGCTTAACACCAATCTCACTCGATAGCTGTCTGTATTGTGTGGCTCAAGCAAACGAGCTCAACAAGTTGATTTTGGCTTTTTTGTAAGTCTGGAAGTAACCCGCTCTCATTTGATTTTTCTCTTGTGTTTCGGAATCCATTTTTCTTCGCAGCAGTCGTGAGTTAATGAGAAGAACATCTTCAGACTGCTCACTATTTTGCGCTTCTCTTATATGTTCCCGACTCCTCTTTCCACTGTGCTATTTCCGAAGACGCTGAGATTTGACTTGATAATGACAAATGATGAAGAATTGTATTATTCATGTAATCAGCGGTCGAGCGGTGTAGTTGTGACACCAGTAATACGGTTGTGATCGGTCTTGGCGAGTATGATTTGTCCTGGAAACTCTAGGTGCTCTTTTTGGGTCGGCATTTGTTCCAAGCGCTACTTTCCGAATCAAACGGTACCCAGTCACGACGTTATTTCGAATCAGGATTTCCAGCCTACACCTCGTGTGCATTTCGATGTTGATTCGCGGTTGCTGCCAGTATTTGACAACAAGGATAACTTATTCTTGATAAGAATTTGCTTTGCTCAAATGATCGCCACATGAGCTGATTATGCAGCACCGATTAGTGCAACGTTTTTATGCTTCGCAGGGTGAAACAGGTCCTCAGTTAGCCGAAGGGGATCAAACAGCTCTCCATTAAGCCCTCCAGCAAGTCTTGAAAGAGGCTAAGGATCTAAATACCCCGCTGTTAACCAAATCTATCTGTCAATTTTTCTCAAAACATTTTCAAATACAGGAAGCTTTTCAGAAAAAATTGTCGTCCTCACGCCTCTGCAAATACCTCTGCAATGAGCGCATGATCTAATTAATTCATGTGCTCGTTGAAAAATATGATTTTATTACTTAGTGAAAGAGT